ACTTAGGGCTTGTTCACACCATGTCCAGACCAGAACAGTTTGTTCCTGGACCAAAAAAAGCATCCCAATGTATCCCTATGGTATTGCTGGGCTTTGTTCACACCAGCGCAGTCCGTTCCAGCTTAGACCCAAAAAATAATACTGCTGGTCTCATTTTCTCTGGTCTGTAATGCACTGGATCGCATCAAACATGCATTACAAACACACTGGACTAGTCCAGACATGGTGTGAATATAGCCTAAACTATGTAACCCTCTCAGTGCAGGGGTGCTCCACCACAAGGGTTTTTTTCAGCTTTTAATATTGTTGTACTATGGGATGCCAAAACAAACCCCAGATAACTGTATAATTGATATCTTACAGATGTGGCTGAAGCCCTGCAAGAGAAAAGATATCCCACAGCGCCCATGTTATCTGGCGCCTGTTTACAAAACCAGCGAAAGAAGAGGAACCCTGTCCACTACTGGACACTCAACTAATTTTGTGATTGCAATGACCCTTTCCTCCGATAAACCTGAAGAGCATTGGATTGGACGAGGTGTCGCTTTACTGTGTCAACTTAGCGCATAAAATCATTTCCTTATGCTTCTTTCCACATTAAGAACTTTTGGGTTAAACTCTGAATCAGCAATGCTCTAGAAACCAAGACGACACTGTTATAACAGTTGCACTAAATAAAAAAAGGTTTTTGAAATTTGATTTGATGTTTCACAATAAACACACAGTGTACATAAAATGAAGACAGCAAGAATGAAGGAGAATAGCTTATAGTTAACATGAAGACAAAATGAGTTTTTGTGTTAAATGGGAAGCAGTTAGATTGGAGAGTTTATCACATCAACAGACTCATTGAGAAAACAGTGACAGGTCTTGCACACTTTGTAAGAAGCAGATTGGTTGCATTGTCACGCTACAGTTCAAATGTGTTGTACAAATGTAGGGCACTCAGCCCATGTCTGGGTACCCGACATTACGGGGGGGGGGGGTTAACAAAATGGCCGAGGCACCCCCCCTGCGGGGGTC